GGTTGCAATTGAGGGAAAGATGAATGCGGCCAAGTACAGGGATATCCTGGATGAAAACCTTCTCCAGAGTGCTCAGGACCTCAGACTGGGCCGAAGGTTTACCTTCCAACAAGACAATGACCCTAAGCACACAGCTAAAATAATGAAGGAGTGGCTTCACAACAACTCTGTGACTGTTCTTGAATGGCCCAGCCAGAGCCCTGACTTAAACCCAATTGAGCATCTCTGGAGAGACCTAAAAGTGGCTGTCCACCAACGTTTACCATCCAACCTGGCAGAACTGGAGAGGATCTGCAAGGAGGAATGGCAGAGGATTCCCAAATCCAGGTGTGAAAAACTTGTTGCATCTTTCCCAAAAAGACTCATGGCTGTATTAGATCAAAAGGGTGCTTCTACTAAATACTGAGCAAAGGGTCTGAATACTTAGGACCATGTGATATTTCAGTTTTTCTTTTTTAATAAATCTGCAAAAATGTCAACAATTCTGTGTTTTTCTGTCAATATGGGGTGCTGTGTGTACATTAACGAGGAAAAAAAAATTAACTTAAATGATTTTAGCAAATGGCTGCAATATAACAAAGAGTGAAAAATTTAAGGGGGTCTGAATACTTTCCGTACCCACTGTATATTGGCCCCACACAGTGAGGAGGATTGGAAGATGGTTTATGTAGCCAATGACTCTATAAGAATCACAGTTGGAGACTGCAGACACTAATTGGGTTTTGGGGTTAGAAAGTATCCAAAACTATGAACAGACCTGTTTCATGTTCCCTGTGAGTGTGTGCGTGTGCGTGTGTGTGTGTGTGTGAGTGTGTGTTTTGCCCCTGTCTGCTGTGTGCCTTGTTTGTCTCCATATTTATCCTCATTAGTAGCCATAGCCACTCATTGGCATTGGTTTTGCTCTCCTGTTTATAAATAGTCCCTGTGTTTTCCTTGTGCTTTGTCAGTTGTTGAATGTAAAATAAATAACATTTATTTTATTTTTCTATGTATTTTTCCATGTTTTGTTTATTTATATATACATATGTGTATTTTTATTCTCATATAATTTTTTTTCTATCTGTGTGTTGTCTCTGTGTACTGGAAGCTTGTGACACTAAAACAAATTCCTTGTATGCGCAAACATCCGTGACAATAAACTTGTTCAGTTTACCCATGCATGTTTTTGTTCCTGGTTATCTGTGTTTCTGGTTCTTTGTTTATTTTACTTCATTAAACTCCCTGCAAATAGATCACCTCCGCTTGTTTGCACCTGCACCAACATTACAGAACAACTGACCATTGTTATGGATCTAGCAGGAGTCCATCTGATCCTTCTTCGCCAGGGATAGCGTTCCCTCAAGGACCACGCCCGTGAGTTTTTGGACCTGGCCTACCACACGCACTTTACGGACAATTCACTCATAACCTTTTATCGTGCTGGACTTAATGATCCACTACGCACACAACTATCCTGTGCTGGTCCTTGAGGGACTTTTCAGCAATTTGTGGAGCACGCTCTTCAACTGAGTGGATCCCCCTTTACTGTGGGAGGAAGGAAAAAGCATCCATCATCTTAATATTTTTTTGGGGGGAGCTATGCTCCTCAAGCTTCAGGAGGCGCGGGGCTTGAGCCATCACTTATGTTATCAGCCTGCACCATCTCAGCCATTGGACTCATCTCGGGGAGGACGAGTCTGTCGTTCAGTGTGGCGACTCCAGAGTCTCATCACGACATGGATGCCACACTAGAGTCTTCAGCCATCATGGACACCACACCAGTGTTCCCGGCCGTCATGAACGTTGCACCTGAAGCTAGTAAGGCAGTGCCCAGGCAACTTAGACTGATGTTCAGTGTGGCAGACTGCTGTTGATGTTGGTGTGAGTGGCAGGCATCCCGGTGGTCTCCGTGCTCTCAAGTCCAGCGATTTCAGAGGTCCTGCCACCCTCCGCTGCCCTTCCAGCAATGGCGGTCACCATTTTGTGTGTCTGGGCTATACTCACTTCTGAGGCAGCAGTGTCCGCTCCAGTCCATGAACACACTCCAGACCCCGCTCCAGTCCATGAGTCCCCTGCAGAACTAACTCAAGCCTTAGAGCTCAGTCCTGTGTTGGTGCCAGCCTGTGAGTTCCCTGCCTGTCCTGTCTCAACCATAAAGGTAGCCTTTGAGCTCTCAGCCTGTCCTGTTACGGCCATGGAGGCCATCTCTGAACTCTTAAGCCTGTCCTGACACGACCATGAATTTTGTTTCTGAACTCTCTGCCTGTCCTGTCACGGCCATGGAGGCCGTCTCTTAACTCTTAGCCTGTCCTGACACGACCATGAAAGTCGTTCCTTGAACTCTCTGAATTTCCTATTATGGCCTCAGGGGCCATTTCTAACCTCTCTGCACTCTCTATTGCAATTCTGTCTGCTCCCCCTTGGGTGGCATTCAGATCGACCGTGGTAGGTTCCAGTTCTGCCTGAGCCATCTTGGTGGTCCCCTGCACCATCAGCTCTGCTGAAGTGGCTCTCAGCACCATCAGCTCCACCCTGGTGGTTATCTGGTTCACCGTGGGGATCTTCGGTCCCATCTGCTCTGCTGTGGAGGTCATCTTCTCCATCGTGTGGATCTTCGGTCCCGTCTGCTCTGCTGTGGTGGTCTTCTGCTCCGCCTGCTCGACCCTGGTGGTCTTCGGCTCCGCCTGCTCTGCCCTGGTGGTCTTCGGCTCCACCCTGGCATCCTGCTCTGATGGCTCCACCCTGGCTTCTTGTTCAGCTGGCTCCACCCTGGCTTCCTGCTCCGCCGGCTGCAGTTCCTCTTCCTGTCCATGGACCTGGCCCTCGATCCCTCCCACTGTTCCGCATGTGCTCCGCCTCCTCCTGGTCTTTTCTTGTTTAGGAGCATCTGGAAGCCGCTCATTAGGAGGGGGGCTATGTCACCGATCACCAGCTGGAGTGCCCCTGATAACCACCAGAGGGCACTCCATCCCATACCTCTGTCACTCAGTCTTGGACTTCATTTCCCATAACCCATTGCCCGATTGTTTTCACCTGCTGCTCATTACCTTTGCTTATATAAGCCATGTCATTATACAAATTTGTGTCATCATAAACTACCTAAACCGGTGCACACACACATCGATTTCCTAATGTACAACTATACTCTGTTTAAGCTGAGGTGTTCTGAATTGTGAACAATAATATGGTACAGTAGTGGCAATAACAGTGTAATGTGACCACTACTGACTGTCGGACAGCACAGAGGAGGAGTTTTCCTGCCATTACAGCCCGATAAATTTACCCTGGCAGCTTTGACTGGTACTCAGCAGCCCTTGCCTGAAGCTAACTAAAAGGATCACACATATTTGACATCCCAGGTGTTTTATGTGGTGTTCACCAGGAGCAAATTTGTGACAAAATTCTTAAATCATAACATACAAGTACAGTACAGTCTTAAAGCAGATCTGTGGAAGAGAAAAGTGTTGCAGTAAATGACCTATCCATGTGAGGAAACTGAGAATGAAATCAAAGAAGAAGAAGAGAATATCCCATGTTATGTTTTTGGATAACTTATAACTTGACTTGTTATCTTCAGTTTATCAACTGCCTGAATCAAGGGGATGTTCCACCTGCTGAAACTTGTGTGAATATTACACATCCTGAAGAAAGATTCCATTTACGAATGTGTTCAGATCACACTTTCTCAATACAAGCACTTAATTCGCTGCAGTTACTGAGAAGTACAACGTTGTAGAAGCGAATGCTCCAATTAACACTGTTAACAATGTGCCAGAACTGTTTTTTCTAAACATTAGAAAGAACTGTGTAAGTAATGAAGATAATAAAACGGCTTCAACTGTGAGCTTCTATCACTTCAGCTGTCTTCAACTTGAGCTTATTTAAAACCAACACGTTGGTCAAAACACTCTTAAATCAGAAATGTATCATTCAAATCATACAGCAATAAAATAAGCAAAGTAATGTTGTGCTGTTTCAATAATATATTGTTTTTGACCACTTCTTCCCATCAACATGAAGACACCCCTTCCAATCTCGACAGCATGTGAAAGTCTCTTCAGCACTTCAGGATTGTTATTTAGTCCCAGAAGAACAAAACCTAACAGCAGCCATTTTGAAAATCAGCACTTGTTTAAGCTGAGCATAAAGTTTCACTATTCTGAAAATAAAATGATGTGGCAGTGTTTTTGGAGGAAAATGAGAATCTCTCCTGACTGTTTATAAGTAATTCTTCTGAGAATGACAAAACACATAAGTTTCTAACAAATCTAACTTTACTTTCAAACTACTTTCATTGTTTTCATACCAGAAACGTGATGTTTTGAGCTAATTGCTCATTTTATTTTTGGATGTGCATATATCATATGGTTTGTGACATGGTTCTGAGAATCATTATGACTGGTGATATACAGAATATTCTACAATGCAATTCAATAGAAAATTAGTAAATGTGTAGTTGACGAATAATGCATGGGCTTTTTTTCCAACACTATAGTTTACAATTTAGATAAATGTATTTCTTTAAGTTTCTCACCATTTTTGGCCTTCGCTAGTTCCTATTAAATAGTCCTGCAGTGTGAGAAATGAATTTGAAAGTAGTACAAATGCTGTATTAATTTGAGGTCATAAAAGCGAGTGCATAATAATTGCTTTTTAAAGTAGTTTTAGATGGAGTATGATACACTGCACAACATTCCCAGAAGTATTTCAACTACCCAAATATTATTGCATGATAATGGACATAATCCTCAACCTCATCATCATTCTGATGATACGCAGTTTGCTGTTATCATCTGGGACGGCCACATGGATCAGAATTCAAAGAATTACTCACTGAGCTCCCAGCAATTGGCACCTGAATGAACCTCCTCATATAAACAACAATAAGGTTAATGATGGGGAGCAAAAGACCATGTATAACACAATAAATGTTTAAAATACAATATATAAAAGAGTTTTACACCAGTCTTGAGAACTTCACAGTCTATATGCAGAAGCATGCTGAAGAGAAAGATACCTACCTGGGTCTTCTTGTTTCCTAGGTGTTGTCTTTCTCTGTGAAATATGAGAAGGGAGAGAATATCATTAACAGATTCTCTGCAATATGAACACACTCAGTTTCAGTTATTATTATCTGTTTTTTGCAACACTGGTAAAAATATTGTCAAAATGAATTTACACACTGACAACTATTCTGTTATTCCTATATAAGACTGCATTCTGTCAGTAAAACTAACATAAATTTAAATGAGAATAAAACACTTCAAACAGCATTATAAAATAATCTTCCTGTATGGATTCTTCCAAATATCGATAAAGAAAGATCATTTTACATTACAGTCTGGAAATAGCATGTGTTATGTTTGAAGTGTACTGTATGGACAAACTATTTAGATTTAGATGAACTTGTCTGTGGTTTCACCTGTGCTTTTTGAACAGCAGCACCTGAAATCATGAGAGAGTAAAAGAAAATTTGTAAAGACAGCAAAAAGGCTGTACATGTACAATTCCCTTTCAAGGGAACTTCGAACTGCGTCCTCTAGGGGACGCTATGGGGAACGCCTCGTCGTGACCCGTGTCTGAAGCATACATTGAAAAAACACCAACAACACGTTGGCTGGCGACAGCCCATGACGTCACTACCGGTGCGACTATTAGTAATCGCGCCACGGCGAGGCTTTATTTGCCGTGAAGCGGGCGAAGAAAGTGACGTTGCAAGGTATCTCGATGAACGTTATTTTTCTGTCCATAACCCTCCAGCTCAGGTGAGCCTTCCTTGCTTCCTGTTTCCATACAGAGATCGAGAAGGAATGGAAGAGGTTGTTTTTCCTCACGCATCCATCGATTCCAGCATACGAGTTATGCTAACATCGAGACGATGCGCGAAAGCGGTTATGAGAAGATGCCCCTATAGAGAGACGCTGGCCAGCTATCTCTCTATGGGTGAGACGTCCTCTCTTAAGACTCCCTCCTTGACATCTCGAATGTCAGGGGATACACAGCCGCAGCAGGTCGGGCTGGCGCTTCATTGCACACGATGGTGATGCTCCAAGCATATCAGGCTGACCGGCTGAAAGACCTAAGAATTGAATGACATGTTCTCCCGGTGCCTATTTATAATAATAGTCGCACCGGTAGTGACGTCATGGGCTGTCGCCGGCCAACGTGTTGTTGGTGTTTTTTCAATGTATGCTTCAGAGACGGGTCACGACGAGGCGTTCTCCATAGCGCCCCCTAGAGGACACAGTGTCTTGTTCCCGACTCAGGGAACCATGGTTACATAAGTAACCTGAGACGTTCTGCGGCATTATTTAGAGTCTAAAGTTAAAACTATTACAGACCTCTCTAGCAAGTAAATACAGTTGAATTAGTTGCCTTTCATCTAGAGAGCCACACTAAGGGAATATTCACACAGAGCACAAAATTCACACTTTTTTCTTTTATTTATTATAATTTATTTATTATGCTATTATTGTTGTTGTTGCTTTGTATTTCTTGCTTTGTATGTCAAGTTAAAAATAACACCTATATATATATATATATATATATATATATATATATACTGTATGACATGAAAAAGAATCTGAAATCATCTGGGTGTAAATTCCAGGAATACATATAATTCTTTGAACAGTGAATTATGAAATGCCAACTTGGTTAATGCAGAGGCACTTTATTGACCATTACCTGCCCTTCCACAGACTCCTAGTTTTCCAAGACAACCCTTATGAGCCCCGTTTCCGCATTTAGGACAAAGGTAGCCTTGGTTAAAAATTCCCCTGAAGAGCAGAAGGACCATGGGGTCATGGAGTCAATGCTTCATTCATTTGCATGCATAGATGGCTATTACAGACCTCGTGAAAGTGTTGTGGCTTTCAGTTTATGCCATTTAGCTTTAAAGGGATAGCTCACCCAAAAATGAAAATTCTGACATCTTTGCAGATTACTCACCCTCACATTGTTCCAAATTTGTAAAACTATTGTTCAACTTAAAAACACAAATGAAGATTTTAATAAAACCTAGGAGATTTCTGCACCTCCATTGAAAGTTCATGTAAACAAAACTTTGACGATTTAGAAAAAATTTTTATAAAAACATTGTAAAAGTAATCTGCAATGTAATGAATCTTACATTTAATCCAAGTCTTCTAAAGAGACATGACCACACTGTATGACGAATAGATTAAATTTATTATTTTATTTACATAAAAACACTGATCAATGCACATACATAGAGCTCATGAAATACAGTAGAACATACAGAAGCTCAACCCTACTTGCTTGACGGGCATATAAAGTGATCATGTCTCTACAGAAGACTTGGATTAAATCCTTCGAATTATGTGGACTACTTATTACAATCTTTGAATTACCAAATTTTTGGTTACTTGGACTGTCAGTAGGGACAGAAATCTCACAAGTTTAATTCAAAATATCTTAATTTGTGTTTTGAAGATGAACAAAATGGGTTTGGAACAACATGAGAGTGAGTAAATGATGACTTTTGTGTGAACTATCCTTTCAAAGTTGGCACGAAATGAAAATTCTGTTTTCTAAATGCATATTATGGATGTTTTTGTTAATAATTCATCCATGCATGAAAACAGAGACTTCTTCTAAACTTTAAGGCTACCAACATGCTAGTCTAAACCTTAGTTTGACAAAAGTATATTTTAGATGATTTATACAGATTTAAAATCTGTTTTCTCTGACAAAAATGGAGCAAAATGTTTTATGTTGCATATTTTTCAATTAATTTTTTTCCAATAAAGTGAGACTGTGAAGGCACAGAAAACAGGACAGAAAACTGATTTCACAGGGTCTTTAAACACCATATTAATGATCTGACTGGTTAACATATAAGTTAATATTGACTAATTTATTCCAGCACACGAAAGGTCTCAGAAGTGCAAAGTCAGCTCACCTGAGAAGCATATGACAGGAGCTGCAGCTGGTGGCCCTCTCAAAAGTGTGCATCCTGAAGTGGTGAGAGTTAAATGTGGCATTCTCAGGCCGAATATTAGATCTAAAATGGAAAATCAGAAATATGGTAAAACAATGCTGCAAAGTTGGCTGACTGGAAAAATGAGCATATGACAAATTAACTGTGTGAGTTAAACTGCATGTTTAAGAGGCCAGAGTGAATGGGACCAAGCGTTGGTGAATGTTGTGGCCCATTGGGCCACAGGACCAGACCTTCCAATTCCAGGCACAAATCAGAGCAGTGGGGAAGCTCTTTACCCAAACGACTCTAAGATTGATTCTTGCATCAAGAGTGCTGTGTGCATGCGGCAGGTGTAATTTGTTGTTTGAATGCACCCTTCACATCATCACGCAGTCAACCACACGTACTGTATACGTGCGTGTACAGAAATGCATTTTTAAAGGGTGACATATAAATCAAGCAGGAGGGGAAACATCATTACAGACTCTCAGCACAAGGAACAGTGTATCCTCTTTAACCTACACAATTTCCAAATCAGAACTCTCGTTAGTTTTCCTCTCCGTCTCTCTTTTCATTTCTTCCAGTGTAAATATCCCAGGCACAGGATGTCACCACATACTAGAACGGAGTAAGCTGCTTGACATCAAATGACATCATTATAAAAATGTTGAATGCCTTATTGAATATAACACAATGTGTGCAAACATTTCCTCTTTCTAACTTAAAAAAAAAATAGATTCCTATTGTCATGGGTTACACGGACCGTCATGTGCACTATTCTGTAATTTGCATTGACCAAAGTTCCAGGGAGCTTTTAACTGCAGTGTGAAAGGTCACCTCAAATTTTCACATTTAAATATTCATTTAAAAATAAAATATCTGTCATTTATTCACCTTCATAAAAGTGGTTTACATAAAATTTAGGATTACATCACTTGCTCACCAACGGATCCTCTGCGGTGAATGGGTCAATTAATTAACATTTTATGAAGTGAAAAACTGTGTTTGTTCGAAACAAATCCGTCATTAACGCATTTTAACTTTAAACAATCACTTTTGGTCAATAATACCAAAATAATGTCCATAATATATAATAATGCTTCCTTCAGTAAAAAAGTCAATCCGCTGTTGTCCTCTCACATCAAAATCCACTAACATATTTGCTTAAAATTGTTTTTGTTATATATCCCCTTGTGTTGAACTTTTATGTTCAAGTTGTGTTTCAGTTTCCTGTGTCAAATCTTGTCCCTATGTAGTCTTTTTGTTGATTGGTTCCCTTGATTGTCTTCCCAGATGTGTATAGTTAGCCCTGACCCTGTGTGTATATATATATAAACACCAGTGTTTTTTGTGTTTCTTTCTTTTAATAAAAAATAAAAAGTAACAAAAATGCAAACTTCTGGCCCACACTCCAGTACAGTAGCTGGCGGAAATACACCTTAAATGTTAGTTACCACCCACCATTAAAAAGAAGAATAAGATGATGATGATGATGATGATGATGTTGTTCCTGGGTAGTTGTCTTCTCTGTAGTGATGTGTATAGTTAGCCCTGACCCTGTGTGTATATATATATATAAACACCAGTGTTTTTTGTGTTTCTTTCTTTTAATAAAAAATAAAAAGTAACAAAAATGCACACTTCTGGCCCACACTCCAGTACAGTAGCTGGCGGAAATACACCTTAAATGTTAGTTACCACCCACCATTAAAAAGAAGAATAAGATGATGATGATGATGATGATGTTGTTCCTGGGTAGTTGTTGTCTTCTCTGTAGTTTGTGCTTGTATGCCTCTTTGTGTTATTGTTAGTCTATTTCAATAAAGTACCCCTTGCATTTAGTTCCTGCTTTCCTGCAATTCTGATTTTGTCATCATCATTCTTAAGACTCCCCTAACCATTTTTTTGTGGAGGGCTATAGGGCTAAAGCTCACGTAGCTTGGAGATCACAGATTTCACCCACCAGAGGCTGTTTCGGAAGCTCCCCATTTGCTTCGTCGCAGCTCCATCTTGGTCTCCAGCTCCACCAGCCCCACCATTTTGGTCTCCATCTCTGCCGTGGTGGTCTCCTTAACCCCAATGGTCTTCAGCTCCATCCTGGTGGTCATCTCCACCGGCGCCACCCTGGTGCTTTTCAGCTCTGTCTGGTCCATTTTGGACTCCAGCTCCACCAGCCCCACTATGGTGGTTTTCCTCTCCACCCGATCCACCATGGTGGTTTCCATCTCCACAGTTGTGGTCTTCTGCTCCGTCCTGGTGGTCATCTCCGCTGGCTCTGCTGTGGTCACCATCTCTGCCGTGGTCTCCAGCTCTTCCTTGGCTCCCTGCTCTACCTGCTCCGCCCTGGCTCCCCCCTCTTAGCCCTTGTATATAAAATCCAGTGTGTTTTATATTCCTGGTTGGTTGTTGTCTTCTCTATGGTTGTCACATGCGTTCACATTATGTTCAGCTCTGTTTTCCAGTGGTTTTCCTTGGTTTCTCGTGTTCATATCCCTCTTTGCATTATTGTTAGTCTAGTTCAATAAAGTACCCCTTGCATGCACCTGCTTTTCAACCATTCTGAATTCACAGTGTGTTACAGTTTTGGACTGATTTTGCCTGTAAACGTTGCTAGATCTGTGCATATTTCTCCCCTGATTCAGATGACATTTTTACTGGAGAAAGCAATCTTATGGACAGAGGACAATTGAGCCGGAAGCAATGTTTTGAAAACGACGGATTTGTTTATAACAAACTTTATTTTGAGCTTTTCACTTCACTGGAGTCGTGTGGATTACTTGTGGATTATTGTGATGCGTTTATCAGCTGTTTGAACTCTCATTCTGACGGCACCCATTCACTACAGAGGAGAGAGAAACAAAATCGTATACTTGGATGGCCTGATGGTATGTTTACAGCAAATTTTAATTTGGGGATGAATTTTTCCTTTAAATGAATTGGTTGATTCAGTTAACAAGTTGTATGTTCTTAAATGATTTGAAAGAGATGGACCCAATGATTTGGTTAACAGCTCAGTGGAGAGGAAGATTACTACTGAACTGACTTCAACTTAAACTTTTATGCCTTCCAAAACCTTTATTACCTTTTTATTGACATTGCACATACAAGAGCAAAACAAGATTTCTCCTTTTGAATTCCACTGAGCAAAGAAAAGCATTCAGGTATGGGACGACATGAGGTTGGTGACAAAATTGTGATTTGGGGTTTCAAACTCACATGGCCATCTCAAACTGGTCCAGCCATTTCTTCTTCAGATCTTTTGTCTTGAACAGGAACTCAAATCCACTCTGCCCCTGCTGGTGAGTGAGGTAGAACCCATAGCACCACTGCCAGAGGACAAGACAAATAGCAAAATAACTGCTTAAAAATGCAAATTAGACTTACATGTAAAGATCTAACTTTTAAATATGGATATACGTTAAGAAATTTTGTAAAAAAAAAAAAAAAAAAAGACACAAAGTCGCTGTAATATTAAGGGGTTATGGTGTTTGGTTTAAAGCTGTGATGGGTGATGGCAGTGAAGGTTGTTAGGTAAGGGAAAAGGGGGCCATTTTATTTTTCACAGCAATAGACCGCCAGAGGCAACCTTGGAGGAGTGGACATATTCATCACTATTACCATTCAGTGTGTATGAGAAAATGTGTGTGCTCATGTGTAAGTTTGTGTGGCGTTGCATTTATGTACACTACTGAGGGCTATGTTACAGCATCTCACCCTAGCCGCTAACCAGTCCAGTGTGTTATTAACTAAAGCTAAAACCATTAAATGTTGTTTTTGGTAATTGAAATAAAATAAAATATTTCCGTTAATGGGGGTGGGTGGACCCTTTGTATCAGCCAATTTATTTATAAACTAAATACAGACAATACTTGTTTTTCCCTTATCATTGAAGCCCTAGTATTTCTAAAATATAACCAACAAGCAAACCACAGATTGTGTCATCAATATTACTATTACAAACTTTTCTTTCCTCCAAAATTATTGTTTTGAGCATTTTAGAATGTGACAATATTTATAAAAGTTATTCATGATGGTTGTTATGAAGTTTCACTATATTCCTACAGATATTTAATGTGTCAAAGTCTGTGTGCATGTGTTTTGGAGACATCTGGCAGTTGTGTAAGTTCCATCAGTGTATTAAAGGGATAGTTCACCCAAAAATGAAAATTCTGTCATCATTTACTCACCCTCACGTCGTTCCAAACCTGTATGAGTTGCTTTCTTATGTTGAACACAAAAGCAGATATTTTGAAGATTGCTGGTAATCAAACAGTTGGTGGTTGCCATTGACTTCCATAGGAAAAGAAATACAATGGAAGTCAATGGCAACCACCAACTGTTTGAGTACCAGCAATCTTCAAAATATCTTATTTTGTGTTCAACATAAGAAAGCAACTCATACAGGTTTGGAACGACATGAGGGTGAGTAAATGATGACAGAATTTTCATTTTTGGGTGAACTATCCCTTTAAGTGTGTGTATGGGTCCTGAGGAGGGGCAGAAAGGCACTTCAAACAGAAAAGCCAGCGGGTCTTTGCCTGGCCAAGGTCTCCTTGAGACAGATTTCACCAGACCATCTGTTCAGAAGAAACCTTCCTTTTGGTGAAAGGCATAAAAGAGAAAAAAATATCAAAAGTTTAAAGACATATCCACATTATTTTTACATCTGTATCACTACCGCCAAGCCCAAAAAGAACATCAGAAACCAAAGGTAACCTGAGGTTGAGCTGTCCACCTTTACAGACTGAAAAACACATCGAATTAAGTAAACAGTTCTACAACCTCTATACACAGTACGCTTACTATGGCCACTTCTGATTCACGTGACATGGAATACACTGCACAATGAACACAGACTTTAGACTGTGTATTGTCAAAAGTCTTTCCAGTCTTTCCACAGTGGTAGGTTCAGCATGCAGTATTTGACTTGACATGCTGCAGTAATCCGTCACCATCCATCAAGCCTCATAAAGGGCAGTAACATCTGTCTGTCACAGTCTGCGATGGGCTCTCCAGCCTGATCTTAGTAACACTCAAAATTACAGACTAAGGGACAGCCTCACTTTTTGTTTTAAGGCCTGGCTGTTAATAATCCCAGGTTGTTGAATGAGGAATGACTCATATGTTGACTCACAATTGATTCACACATATATATGTTTTTTATAAAGTGTGTGTGTGTGTGTGTGTGTATACATTATCGGCCGAAAATAGCATTTTCGGTTTTAGTTTTTGGCTTGTATTTTTTTAATTCAGTATCATTAAAATTCTTGAGTTAACTTTAAAAAATCTTACAAAATTATTTCATATTATTTAATAAAATAATAATTATTAAAAAGTATTTTCTGTTTCGGCTTTTGGCCAAGTGCATCCAGAATTTTCGGTTTCGGCCAAGAATTTTCATTTCGGTGCATCCCTTATATACTGTATATACAGTATGTGTATGTGTGTGTGTGTGTGTGTGTGCGCGTTTTTGTGACAAATGAGGACATACATTTGTATAATGACAAGGGTATGACATGGGTATTACAAGGAGAAGGTGACTTTTCAGGACATTACCCCATGTCCCCACTTTTCAAAACGCTTATAAATCACACAGAATGGAGTGTATTGAAAATCTGAAATAGCACAAGGTTTCCTGTGAGGGGTAGGTTTAGGGGTAGGGTTGGTGTAGGGCAATAGAATATACGGTCTGTACAGTAGAAAAACCATTACGCCTATGGGATGTCCCCACTTTTTACAAAAACAAACCTGTGTGTGTGTGTGTGTGTGTATGTATGTACATGCAATTCAAAATTCAAATATTATATATATAGTATATTATACTATTGTATTACATTATTATTTATTATATTTTAAATATATTACAAATATGCATGTGAAAAATATTAAAAATACTTAAAATATATATATTTTTTTAAATTGCTGTCAGTGTATCAATTTCAAGTATTATTTTAATTAAGAAACTTTAAGAAGATTTATTGGAATAATAACCTAAATAGTTACATTGTTTTAAATAGTTCAGTATTGTGTTCTTCATCTCTGTTATCTGTAAGAAATGTACTTGGAGAGCAAAGATAACAACAAAAAGATCAACGCATGAATACTCAGGAGACAACAAACACTCACTAAATCTTTTTTAATGTAAGCCTATATGTGGACTAAGAAATGCATTAATCCAACTCAACTGCTATACTTGTTGGCTTAAAAAAGTGCATTGTATAGAGTATAATGCATAAAGAGAATACATTTTTTACTCGATCTAAGAACATTTTTACAGTGTGTATTTGATCAGAAATTATAAAGACCTCAAGTTTTCCTGTGTTCTGCATGTGAACATTTACTGACTTAAGCGCTTTCAAAGAGCTTACAACAGCACAACTAATTTGCATAACATTGCACTTTGGTAAGTCACACTGTCCTTAAAATGATTTGGATATTACTGGAATATCCTGCAGTATCCTAGAGGACATAAACATTTTTTCAGAGAAAAAAATCAGCAAAGACTTTATTCTATGACACTCTTAACAGTTCAAAGGAGATCTAAAGGAGAGTTACTGGAGCCATCTGTGGAGAAGGTAAGTACCGGAGTGATTTCTATTCTACAGTATACTTGAATTGTGCTAGTCCACCTCTATAAAACCCGTCAGAATGGAACAATATGATGAATAGCAGATGCTGGGATCATGAGAAAAATATGACTGTTTGATGTTTGGGTGCAGTTTTCTGAGCCTGCAATCATTCCTGTTACTGTGTTTCTCACTGACCTTTCTGCAGTCCTTATCAGTAGTGGGGTTATTGGTGATCTTGAAATGGTTGAGGTCGATTACTTCCTTCATCTCATAGTTGTCCCCGCGCCTCTTGCAGATGATTACAGCAACATCGAACAAAAAAATATGTCTGCAACATCGACGCGTCATGACATGGCATGAAAGTAAAAACAAGAGTGGATTGCTGTAAAGGTTTTTGCCTTAAGTCTCACCTGTCCTGCCTGCGCTTGTCCACATTTGACACCAAACGGACTTCACCGTCACCCTTCGGTCTTCCATAAGAAAGTAAGCACTGGTTCTGTGAAGGGACATTCATGGACAGACAGGAAAATGATGATGACATGAGTAAACTGTGCTTTTAAAAGCAGAGGTCATGTTTATTATGTACTACTTACCAAATTCTCAATGGATCTCTGATACTGATCAATCTCTCTCAGAGTTTCAACGTCTCTTTTCACCTCATTTACATACTGGGCTAAGTCCTGTTTAATGAAGGAAGATTAATGCACCTAGATTAATGAACATATCAAATATATACTAATTTATGGGGGGGGAAATCAACAGGAAAATACATTTTCAGCAGCCATTACTCTAGTTTTCATTGTCACATGATCCTTCAGAAATCATGAAATCATTTAATTAATTCATTCATTTTATTTTAATTTAAATAATTCTAATATGCAAATTTGGTGCTCAAGAAACATTTCTTATAATTACCAATGTTGAAAACAGATGTGTTGCTTAATATTTTGGTGGAAACCATGATATATATAATTTTTCAGGATTCTTAACATCATAAATGCCTTTATTGTAATTTTTAATCAATTTAATGTGTCCTTACTGGACGCATTAAATTGATCAAAAGTAAAACATATATTTATAAAAAAGGTTAAATAAAAAAGTAACACATATACCCCAGTGAAATATATATATATATATATATACAGTGGGTACGGAAAGTATTCAGACCCCCTTAAATTTTTCACTCTTTGTTATATTGCAGCCATTTGCTAAAATCATTTAAGTTAATTTTTTTTCCTCATTAATGTAC